TGCTATCATCAACATTATAAAAAAATTTTTTTGATGCTTAAGTATATGGAGAATAAGAGCCTACAGTCATTTCATAATTTTCTTTGAGCGATTTTACTTTCAAGTTTCAGCGAATCGTAAAACCACAGAACTGTCTGGTTTTTTAGGTTCAATAAATGTTGGTATTTCTATTAAAATTTCTATGTTCCCCCCATTGACGTTGTTTACACAAAAATTAGTACGCTTTTAGAGAATTTGTGTGTCAAAATCCAATTCAATTTTCAGTGTATCATATTTCGTCGATGCAAGAAAAGCGACACACACCAATTTTCGCAGAAATAACGGTATTATTGAGAAAGTGATATATTATAGTGTGTTCAAATGATAAAAATTATACGGCGTCATGAAACTTAATACGAATATCACTGCAGTAGTTTTACATAAAAAATAATAAACATATATGTTTATATAAACTCATAGGCATCATTCTTTCTTTTTTCATTTATGGCACGTTTAAAATAATTCAGTCAAAGATAACTTAAGTTTCATTTAAGTACAGACAAGTATATACATCGTGCATCATATGGGGTATACAAAACCCCCACAGAAATAGCGGCATTGTTATTGTATGAATGAAACCTTAATGTTCACGAACAATACAAATAATTTTTTCAATTCAAAAGCAAATGCAAGTGGTATTACTGTGTAAGTGACACATTGCAATATGTTTATATGAGAAAAATAATATTATATACACGAAAAATGCGGTATAGTGAAACTTAATGCTAATGTTGCGGCAACAGTAATATCGATTCTAATAAATGTATGTACGTACATTAAGTAGCGTTATAGGTTTTTTATTCCAACATAGTAATGAAACCAAAGCTTAGTGACTATATTAATAGATAACTGTTGTGTAATCAAATAAAGAAAAATGTGTACATCTTGTAGAGCATGCGGTATACAGAACGCCCGCAGAAATAGCGGCATTATCGTATGTGTAAATGGGCACTGAAAATACAAATGTATCAGAATGAAACATGCAGTGCACAACAAAGTCTGCAGAAATAGCAACATAATTATTATACGAACGAGACCATAATGCACACTACAAATACGAATGTTTTGTCAATACAGAAAATGCAGTACACAACAAAGTCCACAGAATTAGTGGCATTAGTATGGTATGAATAAAACTTTACTGTTCACTGATAATAGAAATACTTTTTTCATTGCAGATGCAAACTTGCAGACAATGAGGTACACATAAACGTCTGCACAAATAGTGGCATATGAGTATGGATGTGTGTTTTCATGTATGTAGGTGTGTATGTAGAACGAAATCGTGTCAATGACGGTGTCATCGTTAGGTGTTTTTTCATGTGCGGAAAGAAAAATCAAGCAGTTCAAGCATGAGAATCTATAGTGTGTTAGTATGATTCTTCAGCTTGAGTCACGCGTACAACGGTTAGATTTTATGTATATGAGACGCGCTAAGACGAATATAGTATGGTCTGCTGTAGCTTCCACTTGTGACACACACGGGAACAGCGCATGGAGCCTACGCGCAAAGTGTTTCATGTGTACTTATGCTAAATTCAAGTGAAAGATTGGGATTCCAATGTATGAGGATCTGAACAACGGTCAGGGTGGGGGTAAGGCAAATTTGGTTTGCACTACAGCTGATGCGATATCTGTATTAGTAAGGTTTTGCTAACAAGTACCCGTGAAAGATTTGAGTCCGCTGAATTTTTTTTCTATTCGATGTGTTTTTCAGTTAAAAATTTATAGCTATATTATACCTATAAATTATAGCTATAATTATAGCTATAACTACCTATAAAACAGCTATAATAATGTATAAAATTCAGCTATAAATATAGCTATAAATTACAGCTGTAATCTTTTATGTATTATTTTAACAATCA